TCATCCCTTTAGTAGTTCCAAAGTGTTTAGTCAGGTGCGGTGGTGTGCACCTGTGTTTCCAGCCACTTGGGAGTGTCAAGTCTACCTGAGCAGCACAGAGAAACCATGTCTCAACACACACACACACACCCTCATGCATGCACGCACGCACAAGTAGCAATATTGAAGGAGGTACTACTCTGAGGTGGGTCTTATGCGTACACTGAGAACACAGAGTTGAGTATTGTAAATGAGAATTACTGAACAGAAGTTGCCTGTCAAGGCTGACTGACTGATTAAAACGTCAATAACTGTGGAGAGACTGGAATGTTGCAGAACCAGAGCCTAATTACAATGTATCTTGCTCAATCTTTAGCCTACTGAATAGTTATTGTCTCACCTATGTGTCACCCAACAGCTTGCTCCTAGCAAGACCTAGCATCCTAACTACAGATAAAAACCATTGGAACGTGTTAACTTGACCAAACCCTAAGTTTCCATCCACCAAAATGCTGAGTCATCAGATAGCATCTGAAGCCTGTAGCTGAGATCTCTCTGCCGTGCTGTAACTGCCGCTTAATGTATCCACCGGTGTGGAATTTCAATTGCCTTTGTCTTAGAGTTTCTACTGCTGTGATGAAACACTGTGATCATAAACAGCTGCGCGGGGGTGGGGGGTGGGGGTGGGGTGGGGGGCGCTTAGTTCAGCTTACAGTTCCACATCACTATTCATCGATGAAGGAAGGAACTCAAGGAGAGTGGGAACCTGGAGGCTGGAACCGATACAGAGACCATACAGGAATGCTGCTTACTGACTTTCTCCTCATGGCAACCTCAGGCGGCTTTCTTATAGAACTCAGGACCACCAGCCCAGGGGTAGCAGCATCCACAATGAACAGGGCTTTCCACATCAACCACCAATCAAGAAAACATAGCCCAGGCTTACCCAAGGGTCAATCTAGTGGGCACATTTTCTCAGCTGAGGTTCCTTTTACCCAGATGACTCCAGCTTGTGTCAAGGTGACATAAGAACTGGGCAGCACAGCCTTGATGGACGCCTTTGTTTCTTTCTTTCTTTCTTTCTTTCTTTCTTTCTTTCTTTCTTTCTTTCTTTCTTTCTTTCTTTCTTTCTTTCTTTCTTTTTCTTTTTTCCCTGCTACTCTAAAACTTCATGAAACTGCTTCTACATTGGGGTAACCTAAGTCTGTGTTTCCAGGCCGTGGTCCCTCAAATTTGGTTCCAGAATAAACCATCCCTTATCCTCTTTGCATTGAGCGATGTGCTCTTGCATCAACACGACAGTATGGTTCTTTGTCAGGGGCTCAGAGTACAGAATAGTAAGACACGTTCATAAAAATCACACACATCGAGAACGTTCTGGAAACCACAGGGAAGCAATGGGAACATGTGACTTTATCTAGAGGAAGGAAGATATTTCCATATAAAAGTTTTAAAAGAAAAGCAATTTATACCTTTTAACTTACAGTTGTCAATTTTCAAATTTACACTTACTAATAACATAAAGTTGTGATGTGAATTTACAAGAGACCTGGAGAGACCATCTACCCCATAAAGGCTGGTAGGCTCGATACTAGCCTTTAAGGTATTAAACTCAATGTTTAGAGCAAGGAAATGATGTATTCTGACCTAGCAAGGCTGATTGAGGCTGGCAAATGGTAAGATGAACCCCTTGTTTACCCAGAACTCTTCAGAGGTTTCATTTTCAATTTGTGCAATGGCAGCATGGACTGGGTAGATGAAGAAATACTTAAGACATGAGGCTAGTTTTGCTCTGCCCAAGGCAGACTAAGAAAACGAAGTTGAGATGTTCAGAACTGCCGTTCGGATGAGTGCATGCTGGGTGAAGCGCTCAGCCATGGTGATAGGGGCAGAGTGGCTGGATGCGTATTATTTCAGCACCGTTGAATCCAAGATACGTGCACATGCAAATAAATGAGAGAATGCGAGGAGAGAGACATTGTGATAAACACATAAATAAATTAGAAAATATTCCTCACAGAGAGATGACTGTTAAAACAAGTAGACTTTGAATCTAATGTGAGTTCTTGTTTAAAAAAAAAGATAAAAATCTCTTATAAACATCAGGTAACTTCACCCGAAGCACGAAAGCTTAAAACCCAATAGCTGTTAACGTAAGAACCCAGAAGGCTCAGAACGAGAAGGCCTCCTTGTGAGATTGAAGGCCTGGAGGCCATTGGAGAGCCACTACTTCCAGTCCACACTGAAGGCTGAGAGGTCTGTAGCCCAATGTCTGTGCGAGATGAGATCAGCAAAGCACGCGCCTCTCAGAAACAGCTGAGCAGGTGCATGGGTGAGAACCGGCCGGTTTTGTTCCATCTGGGGTCGAGATATAATAGATGGACCTCCCACATTCAAGCTGGGTCTTCCCCACTCAGGCCGCTGACCCCCCTGCCAATCCTCTCTGAAAACACCTTCTCAGACTTACCCAGCAATGTACTCCACCAATGACTCAGGGTTTCTACGAGTCTATCTATCTAGTCAGGTTGATGACCAAGATTTACCACAGTGCCTGTGGTGAAAGTTTGAAGGCTTGCTAATGCGTTACCTGGGAGGCTCAAGGAAGGAGAGGAGGATCCTGCTTTTGGCTAAGGGACCATTTATCACTTGCTAAAGTATGGGTAGGGTATTCCCTCAAGGAAGGCAAGTGTGATGCCATGATTTTTTTTTGGTCACTTAAACAAGACTTGGAAGTCCAAAGGTAAGGAGACATCCCCTGAGCTACACCTCCAGTTTCTTCTCAGTGCATTGTAACACGGTAGAAAGGCAAGCCCTCACGAGAGACAGACATCAGTCCTTCCTCGGGGGACTTTTATCAGGAACTCACGGCCTCGGTGAGAGGACCCCGGTGACATGGGTCCTCCTCTCAGCACTGTTTCCATAGCAATTCAATTTCAAATTGAATTTAGAAGGAACATTGATCCATAGCATGGGATTACACAGCTGTCTGTTGTGTCGCCAAATCCCTCAAAACCTAATGACAGAAAACAGTACTATGAAGCTCATGGATTCTATGGAATCCCACATTATACAGCTAGGCTCCACCACCCGTCCCTACATGCAGTGAGGCCTTACTTTCCTGTGTCCTACACTGGAATGTTGTAAATCTGGAAGTGCCCACAGCACACTCTGACAGTGGCAGTGATTCAGGAGAGGGGGTGTGGCTGTGTCGTGAGTTGGACGGTAGCTACTTCTGCTGCTCAGCTCAGAAAGAGGCACCTAAGGGGAGTGGGTGGGCGATGCCTTACATCCAGAGACGCTTTCTTGGGCACCTGAGACCCTTTTGTCAGCCGGTACTTCTCAGTAGAATTATAGATCAGAGATCTAGCTATACTTGTAGCCAACACAGCCCTTCTACGATCTCTCCCCATCCCTGCCTCTCCCCACCCCCCCCCCCCACACATTCTCACACAACCATTCCCTATGTGCTGTACAGAAGCTCAGCATTCAAGTCAACAAAGTGGAGTACAGTTGCATCTGCAGCAGAAACAAAGAAACGAACAAAGATGAGCAGATCTAGGAAAAAAACAAAAACAAAAACCAACCTCTTGGTAGTATGTGAGCCTCTAAACCCAGCCATCCCTTTGAGTTCTAGACATCAATACATTCTCTTAAGTTGGGTATCTCTCTATTATAAACACAGAGATCTTGTACAGAAACTAAAACCAGGAATTGTGCTATATTTCTAAACCTAAAATATGAAACTGGATAGTTTAAAAAAAAAACCTGGAATTCTTGTTACATGAAAATGAAACCGCTGGTTACCGGTATCTCTCGTGCGTTAGATAGTGCCTCCACCACCCTAATCATGGAAACATCATGGACATGGTGAAACTGTATGACGATAACTCATCTTGCACTGGCATAGCTCTGTGGCCTAGAGTCTTGTCAAGCATATCCACCCCTGCAGCCTGTGTCTAGCGAGGGTCAGAACCTCCCCTGTGATCAGCTTGGGCTACCCCTGGAGATGAAGGTAGATACTGACTTCCATTTTTCTAAAAGATGGAGACCAAGACTAAAGATGTAAATCTAAATCCCAGGAAACAGGACTCTCTCTGTGATTGGTCCCAAGGGACTCCAATGACAAGGATGCACAGACTGATCCAGAGAGGCTGACTTACTACGACCTTTAGCACTCCTTATTGACCAAAGGAAGCGAATCTCAATGGTATTTATACTCAGACTAGCCACAGATTTCAGGCAAATGTACAGGCCCTTGGCAGCTGGATATTGTGAGTGTGCAGTTAGTTCTTAGCCCCTGTGACTAAGAATGAATTCCCAAAATGCTACACACTCCATGGCAAGCTTCCTGCTCACCTCTTAGGCACGGTGATAAGGCAATGGGCAGAAGAGTAGCTCCTCCCAGTAAAAGGCTCTGGATCATGCAGCTGGACTCAATAAGGGTCCTAGTCCATGGCAAGAGAGAGGAGTCCCCTGACAGACCTCTAGGTTCCTGATTCTGTGACCCTTTAATACAGTTCCTCATGTTATGGTGACCCCGACCATAAAATTATTTCATTGCTACTTCATAATTATAAATTTGCTACTGTTACGAATCATTATAATATAAATATCTGATACACAGGATATTTGATATGTGACCCCTAAAGGGGTCGAGATCCACAGGCAGAGAACCACTGCCCTGGAAGCTGCTGCCTCATCCTGTCACCCAGTTTCCAATATGGTAGTCATCCTCCCATCCTTCTCTAGGGCCTGCCTGCTTTCCCTCCCTACCAACTTCTCTCCAGGAGGGGCAGGGGGTGGGGTCACACTATCTTACCTCTTGCCTTCAGAAAATCTTCAGTTCTTCTATCTGCTTAACAATAACTCAACCACAACATATATCCTACATAAAGAACCCTTATCACAAGGGATCCTTTTTTAATTCTTAATCCTTCAGGGGTCCTGTAGAGGCCATACTTGCCCATAAGGGTGACCATAGAGGCTTATGTGTGACCACACAGACAGACATGAAGCAAAAGGAGATTCTCACGGAATGTTTATTTTAGATACCATTTTCATTTGGGCTTTAATCCTCACCTCTGCTTTCCATTCTTTTCTTGGAATTCCAAACTGTTTCTTTTAAACAAAATACTATTTAAATATGAGTCTCTGAAGTCATGAGAGACTTTTCTTCTCTCCAAAACGGAAGGACCCACGGCTTCTATTGTTATGCAGCATTTTCAAATACACATGTCAATATGTATTTTATAGACTACTAAAAAATAAAACCCTTTATCCTTTGAGGTTATTGATGTACCCTTAGTCACCAACACGTCTCACAATACAGTAACTTCTATTCATTTTCACGATTGAGGTGGCAACTAGACTAAAAAAGAGGATTTTAATCCCTGAGGTGTCAGTTAAAATGCAGAGGTTGCCAAGATTTTTTTGTCTTAAAAATTAGCTTTAAATAATTAGCATGGATTATGCTATCTCAATCAAAACCACTTCCACTGCCCGGAATCCTTTAGAAAATTGCATTTTCTGGGTTAAGTTCACCCTGATATCCTCAGCTCTCTAGCTATGAGATTTTTTTTTCCTTTTGTAAAGGAATTGCACAGTGGTAAGTCTGCGCAAACTTCTGAGTGCCTCAGAAAGTAAGAAGGTCCATCCACCCTTTCAGCTTATCACACCGCTGTCACGTGGTTGGAGAGGAAACCTCAGCACCAGTCCAAGACCTGGAAAGGTTGGGCTTGTGTGCCCATGTGGGTGTCAAGACCTGGAAAGGCAGATGCCCCTGCCTGGATTGTCTATTTCTCCAGAGGTAAGAGTCTAAAGCAAACCCCCATGCCCTTGGGAAAGCAGGCCGGCCCTGTGCTTCTCTCCAGACACATTAGCCGAGCTGGCTTCCCTTATGCACACCGTCCCTGCCCGCAGAACCCACTCTTTTCCTGGCAGCCTGCAGAGGTTCTGGGGTCCTAGTAGTAGCGGTTTAGGCTCCTGGTGCCGGGCACCTCGGGCTGCCCATTCATCCAGATCTCCCTGATGATGCGCTCGCGCTCCTCCAACCGCTGTGCGCGCTCCAGCTCCTCTGCAGAGGTGAACACGTTCTTGTTCAAAGTCCTCTCGAATCGGCGGTGTCTGCGCACCGACAGGTCCGAGGCTGTGTCCTCGCTGCCATCCTCGCTGTCACTGCTGTCGCTGCTGCTCTCATGGTCCTGCAAGCACCTCCTCCGTGGACCCCGCTGGCAGTCAGTGTGGCAGGAGATCCTCATCACCAATGCGGCCAAGGTCAGGAACAGGCCGATGCACACACCAGAGACGAAGTACAGAGCGGCTCGCTCAGGATTTTCTGCAGAGAGAGGAAAGAGAATGCGTTGGACAGGAGCCATGTCTCCACGCAGGGTCAGGGACGCTGGCCCATGCTCTCATCAGGAACTGAGCTTGGATGGCAACCAGTACCAGCCTTCCCAGGAACAAATGTCATAACGTTTACAAATAGTATGGCTTGTTCCTATAAATTATCCCAGCATTTGAGAGACTGAGACAGGAGGATTGCTGGGAATTCGAGGCCGGAGTGAGACTATCTCAAACAGACAACAGAGGGTGGCAAGATGGCTCAATGAATACAGATTTGAGGTAGATCACTGAATCTACTCTGAGAAAAAAAGATAAAGAAATAATAGGATAAAAGGGTAGATCATTGAATCTACTCTAAAAAGAAAAAGGGGAAGACATAAAAATGACAAAAGGTAGATTACTGAATCTATTATGAAAAGAAAAAAAGAGAATATAGATATAATAAGATAAAAAGGGAGATTATTAAATCTACTTTTTAAAAGGAACTACTTGTTTTAAATAGGATAAGTAATGAAATTTTTTTTGTCTCAGTTTATCAAATGTTACTGGACTGGACATTGTCAATATATATATGGATATTTATCTGAATCTGTCAAATGTTAATGGACTAGACATCGTTAATGTAATTCTTGATTGCATATATTGTATATACTTATTGGATAGGTTTTCTTGTATTAGTTATAAGCTTTTTTTAAATTTTAGACAAAAAAAGGAAATGCGGTGGTAATGTGTTCCCCCAAATATTCTGCACCCTAATAAACTTATCTGGGGTCAGAGAACAGAACAGCCACTAAATACAGAGGCTAGAAAATGGTGGCACTCACGCCTTTAATCCTAGCATTCCAGAGGCAGAAATCCGTCTGGATCTCTGTGAGTTCAAGGCCACATTGGAAACAGCCAAGCATGGTGACTCACGCCTTTAATCCCAGGAAGTGAGCCTTTAATCACAGAAAGTGAGGGCAGAAAGCAGAAAGGTATATAAGGCATGAAAACCAGGAACTAGGCTGGTTAAGCATTCAAGCTTTCAAGAAGCAGTTCAGCTGAGATTCATTTGGATAAGGACTCAGAGGCTTCCAGTCTGAGGAAACAGGATCAGCTGAGGAACTGGTGAAATGAGGTGGCTATGGCTTGTTCTGCTTCTCTGATCTTCCAGCATTCACCCCAATACCTGGCTCCTGGGTTTGATCTTATTAATAAGACCTTCTAAGATTCCTGCCACACAGATTTTTAACTCCAAGCCTGAATACCTGAATTCTATCCCAGGAATTCACATTGTGGAAAGAAAGAATGGATGGATTCCCTCAAGTTGTCCTCTGAGCCCCACAGGTGTGTCATGGGACAGTACCCTGGAAAACACACACACACACACACACACACACACACACACACACACACACACACACACACGGAAATGTAATAAAATGAAAAAGAACAAAAAAGGCAGGATGGATGGATGGATGGACAGACGGATGGATAGACAGACAGGCAGATAGATAGATAGATAGATAGATAGATAGATAGATAGATAGATAGATAGATAAATTGGCATTGACAACTGGTCAACAACACATCTGTTAGAGGGGGCAAGGGTATGTGAGATTATCACTATTTTCAACTTTAACTTTGAAATTATTTCCAAAATGAAGTTATGGATAGTCTCTGGGTCTGGTTAATTTTGGGGTGTGTGTGTGTGTGTGTGTGTGTGTATGTGTGTGTGTGTGTGTGTGTGTGTGTGTGTGTACAACTTTTTTATACTAAAGTTTAGAAGAATTTTTAAAGTTAAAAGACCCAAGAAATTAAAAGATAGAAAAACTGTAATTCAGCCCTTCCCTCATGGAGCAACTGTGTTCAGCAATGAGTCTTTATGAAGACGGTCTTCCTGAGTGCCTGAGGTTTCTGTCCGCCAACTCACTCACACAAGCCTCTACATTACTGCTAATCACTGTGAGGTGAACCCACCTTCTGGTATCCATGCCCTTGGTCAATCAACCTCTTCTCAAAGTCTGGGGCTAACAAGTGGATGAACGTGAGTGTGTGTTCGAGAGTGTGTGCATGTGAGTGTGAGTGTGCATGTGTGAGTGTGTGTGCATGTGTGAGTGTGTGTGCATGTGTGAGTGTGTGTGCACATGCATATGGAACTCAGAGGTACTCTTCAAGCACCAGCTGCCTTGCTCTTTTGAGATGGGGTCCCTTGCTGGCCTGGAACATGTCAAGCAGACTAGGGGAGCCAACCAATGAGCCACGTGGCGTCTCCAACCATCCATCCGATGCTGGGATTACAAGTGCATGCCACCACACCTGGCTTCTTAAATGTGGATTCTAGGGATCAAACTCAGACCCTCATGCTTGCAAGGCAAGCGCTTCACTGAAGGAGCTGTCTTCCCAGGCCCTACTAACTTACTTCCACACACTATGGCAAAAGCAATAGGTGATTCTAAGATGAGGTCGAACAAAGCTTCAATGCCCATCCCTCACATTCTCATTCTCTCTCTCTCTCTCTCTCTCTCTCTCTCTCTCTCTCTCTCTCCCCACCTCCTTCTCCCTCTCCCCCCCTCCCTCCCTCTCTTTGCTCAGGAAGATGAAGTCAGCCACTGTGGGTAAGTTGTTCATATACAGGTCCAAGTATCACAGAGCCAACAATGGCCTCTGCTCACAGCCTTCAGAGGACTGAAGGTTGCCAACAGCCATGTGGGTGAGTCTGGAAATGAATCGTCCTCAGAAAAAGACTGAGGTGAGGGGATCCAAGCCTGGCTTTCCAGCAGTCTTCCGAGGGGCTTTGAACTAGAGAGCCCAGTTAAGCCACACACAGCTTTCACAACCACAGAAACTTAGAGGTTTATTCATATCTACATTTATGTTTATGTGGGGGATCATGTGCACGTGGGTGTAAGTACTTTAGAAGGCCAGAGGCCATCAGGTCCCCGAGAGCTGAAGTTATAGGTGGTCATGAACTGCTTGCTGTAGGTGCTGAGAACTGAACTCAGGTCCTCCACCAAAGCAGTACCTGCTCTTAATTACTGAGTCATCTCTCCAGCCATCTGTGCTGTTTAAGACACTAAGTTTGGGATAATTAGTATACAGTCATGGATCACTCATGTAATCAATCACACATCTAAAAACAGGATAGGCATTGAGGAATGACCTCATCAAGTTCACTGAAAGAGAAGGCGGGCCTGGGGAGTTCCGCCAGAGAAAACTCTAATTGTTCTATAGATGAGGTGTACACTCAGCAGGGCCCTCAGTGACCCTTGTGGTATGCACTCAACAGATGAGAACCATTTGGATGAACAGAGTCCTTTTCATGAAGATATGCCTGGCCCAGGTCACAGGGCATGGTTAGACGGACAAGATTTACATACACATCAGCAAAGCAATTTTTCCACATTCTGTAGTCACTTGGAAAATGAATCAACATGTTATTTTTGTAGCTTCAAACAAGAGAAATGGGATCACAGATGACATGGAATTGCTTTGTAAACTTAAAGCTAGGCATGGTGGCACAGACCTGTAATCCCAGCACTCTGGGAGCAGAGGTAGGAGGACCAGGAGGTTAAGTTCATCCCCAGCTACTGAGTTCAAGGCCATCCTGAGCTACATGAGGACCCTGCCTGTGTGTGTGTGTGTGGGGGGGGGGCATGTTTCTTAGTGAGATTTTCAGATTTGTGTGTTTATGGTGATAGAAGAGTACTCTGTAGAACAAACCCATACAGTTCATTGAATTGTTTATCGATAGCCTGTAAGCTGTTTCTCACATTTTTACAGGTTAATGATTTAAAGATGGAGCTGACAAAATGGCTCAGCAGATAAGAGCGCTTGCTGAGCAAGCCTCGAGTTCAATCCCTGGGACCCATATAAAGGAAAGAAAACAGAAAACAGGACCCTAGAGCACAGTGTTCTCTCCTTCCTGGATTCTGTAAGGTAAGTGGCCATGTTCTGCCACAGTGTCCCACTATAGTTGACTGAAATCTTTGAAATAATGAGCCAAAAGATATCCTCCGGCCTTTAAATTATTTCCTGTGTTTGGTCATAGCAATGATAAATGAATATCATCGGATCTGAGAAAGCTTCCTATAAAAAACAGTTTCTGAGCTACAAGTTGATGGCTGTGATGAGTTATAGCCATGTGGAGATCAGGAAAAGTGTTACAGAGGGTACACAGGCATGAAAGATGTGTCGCTCTACGGGAAAGCATGAGATGTGAATCTTAAAGAGAGGGGGTAAGCTCTTGGTCTCTGGGTTTTGCAAATCCTCCTTTCTATTGCTGTGACAAATAAAACAAAACAATAAGTGACCAAAAGAAACTTGGTGAGGGAAGGGTTTGTCTGGCTTACATGTCCCAGTAATAATAGTGCATCACTAAGGGAAGTCAGGGCAGGAATTCAAGTAGGGCAGGAACCTGAAGGCAGGAACTTAAGCCAAAGCCATGGAGGAATGCTATTCTCTGGCTTGCAGACATCCCCTTACCTCCAGATTACTCAGCTTTCTTTCTTACTTAACACAGGACCACCTGCCCAGGGGAGGCACCAGCCACAGTGGGCTACCCACCCCCATCAATCAATCAAGAAAATGCTCCATAGACTTTCCTACAGGTTAATCTGATGGAGGCAATTCCTCCATCAGATATGTCTAGGTTTGTGTCAAGTTGACCAAACTAGCAGGCACATCTAAGATTAGTTCACGTTCACCTGAGGACAATGTGCTATCTAATAATGTCAGCTTGAGATAAGTCTGACTCAGTGACTCATTGATCCTGGGCCTGAGCAAAAGTAGAAAGTCAGTAAGATCTCAGATACATGGGATGTGACTTAGGCAATTAAGAACCTTCCATGAGTGCTGTGGGATGGTCTGTATGTCAAATGTGTTGCTGATTGGTCAATGAATAAATCACTGATTGGTCAGTGGTCAGGCAGGAAGTATAGGCGGGACTAACAGAGAGAAGAATTGAGAGAACAGGAAGCTGGGTGAGGGAGACACTGCCGGCCGCCATCAGGA